CCTGGTTTGTCCAGATGCTAACACCTGGAACTGTGACCAGAGAACTGGATTTATTAAATCAAAAGATACTGAAATGAAAAAAAGTTTGACTCTTGCCCCACATGCAACATATTTCTGCTTCCAAGGAGCACAATTTCATTCACACGGGAGAAGCATCGTTAATCTTAGCACACCTCCATGCTCTAATATCAGGCTGAAGTGCACTCCTCCTATGGGATGGGTTTTGAAGCCTGGTGTTCCAGTGCCACTCTTTCGGCAATCAGCCAAAACCCCTCAGCTATTTGTAAATGAAATAAAAGATTCCCTACACATAATTTATAGCTTATGATTCCCCCCACCCCTCACCCCAATGATTTGCACCTCGAACTTTAGGTTTTTCTCCAGCTTCTTTTTTGGAAACTTATTGAGATGTTAACAACGCCCTTCTCGTCCCAGAAAACGTTCTTGGATCTCACCAACCCCGGTTTCCCCCACTCCCTCCCGCCCTTTTCCTCGCTATCCCAGCTGGGAGACTAAACAGCCATGGATCTGAGTGCCCAGGGGCTTTAAGTCTACAGTCTCTCATTGTCCCGCAATTAACACTTCGACCCCCCCCCACCCCTCTTCCCAGCCCCCACTCACAATACTGTGCTTCAAAGGACAGAGAGCACCTTTCTGGCAGTCAAAGGCTAAGGAGTGTTCGTTCAGCTTGTAGTTCAGACAATCCCACCCTTTCACAAGCTTGACACGCTGTTCAGGAGCCAGAAGCCAAGCGCTACCTGACATTTTAATTAAAGGATGCTCCTGGACTCTTACTAAGCGGTGACCTCAGCTGTCTGGAATGGACTCACCCCCCCCCCCCCCCCCCCAAAAGCATGGATCAGCTCTTTCCAGGGACTCTCAGAAGCAGCTATGCTCACACACAAAGATAAAAAAAAGAACACCCCCACTCCCAGTTCGACAGATACGCAACTTAACGTGATTCCGATCCACGCAGTTCTGACTGGAGCCTCGCTCATTGAGCTTCTTCCCAGCTAAAGTTACCATTTCAAGCCTTCCAAGCCTTCAGGCTGAGCATTACTAATCCCCTTTGTCAGCGGACGGTGATGAAAGGAGGAGTGATACAGATAACGCCATCTGCCAAGTGTTTCTATGTATAGGCATGTACTTATCTCTTATCTCAGAGACCCGCTCTAGCAAAGGAGAAAGAAGAAAATGCAAGCCTCGTCTTTTGTGGCCCTAGAGACCACAGTGCTAAAGCAAATTTGAAATGCACACAGAAGTCTGAATGCAGGACAAGGCTTTTTAAAAAAAAAATTCCAGCATGTGATATGGTCTGATTTGAAAATTACAAACACAAAGAAGAAAACAAAGCAATAGAGAATATCCCACCCTGGTCCTTTTAGCAGCACAAGCAATGGCCTCTCGTGATTCCTTCGACACCAGATTCAGAGGTTTCTGAATGACCCTCACATGTGCTTAGCTAGACCCGGCAACCACAGATGGTTTCACATAACAGTGTTTAACACAAATACACCCACGGCTTCACAACCTCAGTTTTTCCTCTACATGTCTTCCCGTGAGGATTTTGAGTCTAATCTCTTAGCTCAGGCCAGTACCGGCAAGCCAAAAAAAGAAACACAAGAGCACTGTAATGGACATGTTCCTCCCCTTTAGCGTGGGACAAACACACACATAAATAATGGCATGATAATAAAAGCAATCTCTAATTCCTTTAGCTACAGCAACAAGAATGAGACCACATATCTTCCTGAAGAGCAGGATGTCATACAAACTTTCACCATGACTCTTGAAAGGTCCTTGTTTGTTTTTACTTTGCATTGTTTAAATTCTGGCTGAAGCAGCGCCAAGGAATGCAGCACATATACAGGGGATTGAAACCTGAACCGTTGATCAGTGCTCATAAGACACCAATGCACAGGACTACAGTCAGTATTTGCACAACAGTAACGCAAACACTTGTTGGGAGGCCTTATAAAAGGGACCAAAGAATAGGAAAGAAAGCTTTGAAATGGGATGGATTGAGACTGTCACTTGGGCTGTTGTAAAGGATAAATTTACAGTACAGAAACTCCAGTAAGCACCACTCGGTGCTTTGGGCACGTCACGAACATCTATTGTTGGCTGGAAGGTGGGTGGGTAGGAGGTGTCACCCTGCACTCCCTCATTCTCCTGTGTGCGGTTGTGGGTTCTTAGCCATGAGCCTATCCATCTGTCCAGCCATTTTCTAACTGCTGCTTTAAATTCAGGGTCAGAGGGCAGCCAGAGCCTATCCCGGCAAGCAATGGGCGCAAGGCAGGGTACGCCATGGATGGGACACCAGTGCATCGCAGGGCAGACGCACATTAACCTACCAGTATGTTTTCAGACTAATACACTAAAGAAGAAACACAATCATCATTTTATTCCTTTAACAAGTGTGAAGTCAGAACCTTCAGAACAATTCATGGTTAGAATTAGCTTTGCCTCATATATATCTGCCACCACTTGAGAGCTTCATATGGTTTCTCTACCATAAAAGAGCAGAGTGATTTCAAATCATTACAGAAGCACTGAAGACACTTCTGATCTTGACTGCTGTATTCTCCAGGTCTGACTCTCTACAATTTTGCTTGACCGCTGGGACTGGAGTCGTGACAACGTAAAGGCAATTTATACAGGAACAGTCCAAGGACAATTTAGGGTCTGAATGGTCAAATGTCTAGGATGGGAAATACAGAGGAACCGCTGCTGGCAACACTGCAGAACTTCAGAGTCCTAGAAGTGAACGGCGCACATAACAAAATCTTTCTGGCATGATATAAACCCTCGTAATTGTGTACATTGTGATATGTCAGCAAAATATTTAGAATGATTTAATCATGAATGTTAAAATAAAACCATATGACCTTATGGAAGCGCCATGAGAGAAAAGGCTTGTTTACCAGTTGAAGCCACCCCCATGCCCAGACAGACCTAATGCACAAGTCGAAAACATTCCGGGCAACGTTCAGTCTCGAACCCGCGCCGTGCACCCACTCACCCTCGCACTTCTGGTTGACTTCGCTCTGTTTGTGCCCAGCAGGGCACTTGCACTCATAGGACCCCACAGTGTTGATGCAGTTCCCACCCTGGCACAGCCCCGGAATGGCCTGGCACTCGTCCACATCTGAGAGAGAGAGACAGAGACAGAATCCATGATGCCTGGGATTTAGGGAATGTGGACAAACTGGGCCAAAGGATTTCTGTAAGACCCATCAGAGCTATCAGTGATTACAGGAAAAAACAATCTCTATATTTTTAAAATATCACCCCTTCAAAATTTAGTTTCAAAGCCACATTCATGTTCTGGTACATTAAACTTTTGAACACGGTGGTATCATTAACCTTCAGTGAAATAAAAGCTTTGGGAATGTTAAGTGACACAGCATGGAAATTCTTATTTGTAATACTTTGGAGTTACAGTTACTGTTCCTTTCTTTGTGATCTAGCAGATACAGAAAGAACACAAGGAGCCATGAATTGCTCAAGACCTTTTCAAGACATGCTCCAGAAGACATTCTGCAAGAGACTCGTTTGAGTGTTTTGCAAAGCTCCCGAAATGGTGCCGTGATGCAGGGAACATGTAGGCAGAGGTATCTCTACAAACAGGGAAAGGTATTGGACTGATGAATTCAACTGGAACCCCAGCTGACCCGCAGATGTTAGGCTCACCCTGGCAGGCCCCCGTACGAACGTTGGGGATGAAACCACGTCGGCAGGGGTGTGGCTGGGCTGGGCACATTTCGCACGGGTGACCCCAAGCACGGCCAATGGTAGCACAGCAGAGAGTCTTGGTGCAGACGATGCCACTCAGCTGACCCTGGCACATCTGGTTGTTGACCTGAGTGAAGCACGGCCCAGTGCGGTAATCTGGAGGAGAGACCGAAAGCAAGAGAAATCAGAGAAAAAGAATGAAGTCGTCTGATATCCAAGTAAAGGGCTCACCAAAGGCCTTTGACAGAAGTCTCTGCAGGGGGGTTTACAAAGCCCACTGCATCAAAGCAGAGATCAGCTTCTGAAAGGAATTGTAAAAATCTGAGTTTCGATAGGCCATTTTGCATCACTCTATACAAATCTTTAAAAAAATTGATTGATGTGAATGAGAGAGACAGAGAGAGAACCAATTCAAACTGGGCTCAAACAGCACCAGTGTGGCTTTGTTTTCAGGAATTAGTGAGGGACCATTGGCCACTGACTGAGCTGTTTACTGGGAAGTAGTATGCAATTGAGTAAACCGCACTTCAGAAGTCCAGGAGCGAAACAGTGAACAGTGAATTCAACAGTGCTTTGCAACATCCAACATCCAATCCCATATAAATAAAGTGAAATTCCTACAGACGGCTTCATTGCTAACTTTATCAGTGACTTGAAACTTTGTATTAGGCTCATTTTGAGTAAAACGACCAGCGATGAAAAAAATAACAGTAAAATAACCACAAAAAGGGTATCAAACCTGCTATCAACTTTTCGGGGAAATAAAAAAGACATTTCCTACAGGTCTGTTTGTGGTCTAATGAACTGTGGGTAACTGGTGCGGAATATTACAAGCATTTGACCTTATCCTGAGCTGCCTATTGCAATGCACATGTGCAAGTGCCACATGTGTGCATTTAAAATAAAGTCAGATGCATAATGGCTCTGCCCCCTCAGTACAGTCTGTACAGAAGTTTGCAGCAGGTAATAGATCGCTATTCTCAATGACCTAAAATGTTTCCCTCAAAATGGCAGGTAAACCCTTCTGAACCTGTGGCTCACTTGTGGTTAATGAAAAACAAAACGGCACTGCACCTAAACTAGGACAGACTTGAGAGCCGGAGGCAGTCAGTCCCCCAGGGCACCCCCCTTCCCCCTGCTCACTCCCGTGACCTCACAATCTTCCTGGCCAATTTGAGGCCAGGCATGTCAATCTCCTCTGAGGCCCAAAGACCCGCTGAGCAAAGCAACAAACATCTGGGACTGATCATCCCGCCTGGCTGGAGACGAGGCTAGAGACACCGTCTCCAGGCTGAATGTGCCCCGACGTGTATGGAACTCTGATTTTGTCCATCTCCCAGCATATACAGTACCATATACTACAATCCTCCAATGCTAAGAAACAAAATCAGACAACCACACCTTCTGACCCCCCGGTCTCTCAAATTAACTAATTTAAAGTAAACCAGACCAATCTCAATGCTATGCACATCGGGACCTCTTGTCCTATTTTAAACTTGACATTTTTTATGTTCTTACTGTTGTACCTGTAACATCTGGATCCAGAATTTAATTACTGTTTAATCCCACTGAAGGATTCTGGTGCTCCTCTGCTACACTCTGATTTGGGCATGGATTGCCTTGCATGCTTAACACTGTGAGATGTACTGCACAGGATATGTGCCCTCAAATCAAGGATATTGTGTTGTCAGCCCCTATTCCAACCTAGACAATACAGACAAGAGCCCAACCCACTGTGCCAAAACACTACTCTCTTGCTGCAGGGAGCTGCAGTGCTCTTAAGTGCTTTGGAGGCCGATGCCACCCCAACATGATAATATAATACTTACTGTATTATACTGCTTAGACTAGCATAGTGTAAGAAAGTCAGGCATTTTCATATGATTTTATTAACAGTCAGAATAAATCATTCCTCTATCGCCTGATTGCTCCACTGCCTCTTCTGACTATGCTGTTTCCTAGAAAGATTGCAGTTCACCGAGCCTAAGACGGTAAAAAAAAGTTTTGGGCCTGTGCAAGATTACAACCAACACCTACAGAAATGAACAGATAAGAAGGTCATGCAGTGTTGATCTGCAAGGCCACCCAGCTCTACCAGGTCGGTGCTAATGCATCAAAGGAGCCATGAATGGGAAGAAAAGCTGCTTGAATTTGGAAAAAAGTCCAAATTCCAATACTTTGATCTTAAAAATAATATGCTGAAATGTGAGCTCCCAAACCTTTGCACAATGTGTTGTGCTCATTAAGTATGACCCAAGAATAATGCAGGAACAGGGGGAAAAGAAGCAAGCTCACAAAGTGCTGGTCCAGCATTGGGCAGCACAGCTGATCTGGTTGCAGGCCCTGAGACTCACACTCAGAACAGCACCCGCCAAACAAAAGACTCTTGAGTTATGAGTGTGGTTGTAATAGGCTGACTAAGAATTACAAAGCCACAGCCTCAGACCCCAGGGGCTCAGGAAAGCAGCCTCTGTACACAGCTGGAAAACCAACGGGTAAACTCCTGTGAGCTCTGTAGCCTGAGAACATTCCCATTCTGACTCCAGAGAGCTAGAAATGGGTGGTGTAGGGGCCAACTGGGAGTTTAGGAACGCTGGCAACATTCGGAAGCAATTTCTACATTTATTACACTCTGCACAGATCACACTGGAGGACACAGTGTACCCCTCCTGCTGTTGTCCTTTCTTTCTGTGGGATGTTTGGTCACTCAAACCAATCCCTTCCCTTTCCATTCCCTGCCATTATCCTTAGTTTTCCTACGCTGCCTGCTCCTCCATACTCTACAGAAAAATGCCATCCCTTCCCAAGAAAATCTTGCAAAACCTAATCACCTCCTACAGAGATATTTCATCATTAACCATCCAATTTTTTAGGACATCAGAATAGGTTTATATTTTCCAAAAGTAATGGAAATCTGCAAAGCGGTGTAATATCAACTGGTGTTTGTACTAAAGCAGCAGGAGGAGTGCTTGTAACACAGGTAAAACATTCTAGACAATGCCCAGGATCAAGTATTGATACTCTACAAGGGTCAAGTATCTGCCTTCTGTGCAGGTTTCACAAGTGCCAAGTTAAACAGAATAAAAGTTAGAATAGAGCTGGATGCTCCTTTATCTTGTCACAAGATAGAAAAAGAGCCAAACAGTGTGGTTTTCCACCAATATCTTGAACCTTTGACCCCAATTATATCATAGAAAAATTCAACAGCCTATCTTCTTCACGGTGGGGAAGGGGAGAATGTGCTCTGAAAGAAAAAGGTCAAGGCACTCTCTAGCAAAAAGGAAATATTAGAAACTCCTAGGCTTTCCTGACAGAAGTTTAATGTTTCCGGTATTGAACAGCCTGGCCTCTTAAAGCAAAGTGATTTATAAGACACCTAAACAGGCAAACAAGCAATGACCCCCCTCCCACCACCTCCTCCTGAGAACGTATTCTTTTCAAGGGCAGCCAGAGCAAAGGCCTCACATTCTTGACCAGCCACTAAAAATTAGTAGCTGATGTCAGTCTTTAATCCCATTCCTTTATTTCACATGCTGTGCAACCTCTTGCCTGTTGTGCATGTTCTTGGGTATACTCTTACACTAATGTTTCTGCTAATTGTTAATGGTGCCTTACCAAATTGTTCCTCAATTCTGACAAACATGGGGAAGAATTTGCTGGTTATACAGACTTAGATGCATAAACATTCAACAACTCACATCAGAGCACAGTGCAACACAACTGTCCTTCCCACCACCAAGTGGGGTGTTTTGGAAGAGCATTTTCAGCCAATATATATGATAACACTCTCAAGCAGGGAAAGCAACATGCTTTTGGAGCACCTTTTTGAAGTGGCTGGCACCTTTTTCTTATAACTTACAACGTCACCTTTGAAAGTCAAAAGCATGGAGCAGAGTCTACGTTGTTTTGTGCAAATGGGGTTTGAACAGTTATACATCAAACAAATGTTAGTATTTGTATTTATAGAGTAATAATAATGAATTATAGTAGATTGCATTTCTACATTCTAAAGGATCCTAAATCATATTTCTGTATAGGATCCACACTTAAGTGTAGAAAGGAAATATGGAATTTCCCTCCCTGCCTTCTCCAAGAGATCCCAGTGAGACAGACTTTGCTCCAGGAGACTTGAGTTTGTGCTCGATATCATACAGGCTCAGGTGGTATACAGTACGTGTCACTTGTTGCTATTTGATAAACTATCACAAAGCTCAAACAATGCTTTGGCCAACGAAGAGCTGCAACAGATGTTTCAATTAGCATATCTTTGCACGAACACACATGCTCTTAGTACACAGGACGCACTGTTGACTTTTTACGGGTTGTTGCAACGAAGACTCAAATTCTGGCGCCGTGGCCATCTTCTTTGAGGAAACTGGCACACAGACCCACTGCCCTTAAGTAAAAACGTGTCGATGATTAGCTCGTTTCCATTTTGTACTTAATATAGTCAACCCTGTGGCTAAAGCAAGTACTGCTCTGTAGTTTTTTTTCTGTGAGACTTCAGGGACAGCTAATAAGAAAAACACAATAATGTGGTTCTTTTTTTTCCCATCCTTTCTTGAATAAGCTGGGACAATTGAAAACAAAACCACACTCGCAGTGACAACCTGGACAGCTCCCGCATCTACCGCAAGGCCTTACTGCAACGATCTGAGTCAAGCTCCAACAGCAGATTGCTGAGCCCCAGCCCCCCTGGGTGGAGAGGTAACCCATCAACAATGCCATCCTCGCAGGGAAGAGATCTGCCACTAAGCTACTGCTTTCCCGTTTCAGCTAAAAGTGGGGAAAAAAAAAGAGTATGCACACTGAAATGCACAAATATAGCCGTGAGATCCCTTCCCCAATCAGTAGGTGCTAGCTGTAAATGTTTTGACCCAAATTGAAGACGACAGACCATCTTTTAATTACATACTGTTTGTAACTATTTGCTGTATGTAATCCTCTCTTTATGGAGGTATCATGCTGTGGCTCAGCTTTGCACTAGACAGCAGCATGGCTGATTCTACCACTTGTTGAGGAAACAGCATCTCCACCGATGCTCCAAAGGCCTGTGTGCATGAATTACAGTGTGGGCTGTAACAGCACCCCAAACGGTAGTACTGCATCCACACTTTGAGCGGCATTGCAGTCCAGTGTGAAGCAATGGGGCAGCCCTCCAGGGGGGTCAGGTGAATGGAAAAAAGCTATTTTAAGTCACAGGAGATTGCCTTTTGTTGACTGACTGAGCAGTCAAGTGTTCCAATATTTACCTAAGAGCAGGATAAAAACAGAAGAAAGCCCTATGCCTTGTTTACAGTACAAAACACCCAAATAGTTTGGGAAGGGGAGGGGGGGGGGTGACGTTATTTGCACAGCATTACCACTTGAATCCCTTCTTATTTGCCTCATATAACTTCAAAGAGAATTTCATTCCCAACCCAGATCCGTTTCAAAGTGTTGCCAGTGTGGTAGCTTTAGCACAAGCTGTCACCCACATGGCCAAGGCATGGTGTCGAAAACCGACTCCCATGGGAACCATCAAAAGACAACTGCTCAAGACACTCGAGACAAGGGTGCACAGAGAGCTGAACGCCCCCTCCACCCCACCCAACCCCCCTGGTCGCAACATTCTTGTGGTTTCATACGAGAGGGGTGAAGAGCTACTCTGAAGCAGGCTGCAGGGCAGTCTGTTCCAATAGGCCTCAAAAAGAAAACCTCAAGAATAATAAAGAGGGATTGACTGAAGTCCTTCCACAGTGACTGTTCCAAATGCGAGTGGGCTGGTTTGTTTGTAGGTTGTGTGGGGGGGTGGATTGAGGGGGGGCGCAGGTGGGGCCTGGAGGGACTGGGTGGGGGGGAGGTTGGTGGAGGGCTTTATTCTCTTTCGTCCTGGCTCAGCATGAAGACCAGACTGTTTGTGCAAGCCTGGTCCTGGCTGTGTGTACACAGCTGGGGAGGCCATTTTCTTCAGACATCCACCACCCCCCCTCCGCCTTCCCCATCCCCATCAGGAAATGTCCAGGGCTCCGCTAAAAGAATCGCTTTCTCTCTCACTCCTGGGGAGCTTTATTTATTGCCAGATGTCTGCACGTTTTCTCTCAAAGTGTCGTGTTTTTCAAGAAAACAAGCCCCAGAGAATGGATGGGGAGCGAGGCAGGGTGGGGGGGGTGGGCTAGAGAGTGCTGAAGCCGGTTTCAGACCACGTCTCTCCCTGCTCCTGGCAGGGCTCTGCGACCCTGTTCATTCAAGGAAGCTCTGGCCCTGGTATCAATAAAACTCTGCCTTTCATTACTTTCCAGTAACCCCCTTTGCCCCCGCGGTTTCAGTTGAAGATTTCATTACTACTCCGCGCCCTAAATTGAGTTAGGCCACCAGTCAAGAGGAAACGTCTGGTTTCAGTGTGTGATCCTGCGCACAGGAAAGCACACACACACACAGGGCTGGTACAGCCTGGACTGTATTCCCGGAGACAAGCGATGGCACAGCCATCGAGGGAGAAGAGCCGACTTCCTGAGCTGAGCGGCCTTCTCCCGCCAGCAGGCCTGTCTAGGAATTGTACTTCCAGGGGGCGGGAAACAAAAGACCGACTGGCAAAGTCACCATGTGCACCGAAACACAGAACGGTGGTTTGGTCACGCAGACGCATGTCTACACACACCGCAGGTGAGAAGCGTCTGAAGATCTGGGGCTTGATTTTTTTTTTTCCCGCTGGGTTTGAACAATACCACTTCAATTGATCTGCTGTAAAAATCCTGTATTATTGATAAGAATACCACACTCTGGTTATTCAGATCAATCACCTTCAGGCACGGATGGCAGCACTGGCAGTATCAGAGGTAAAGCAGCAATGTCTGGAAATGTGGACAAGACACTAGGATCCCTTATCAATTAATCAATTTCCCTCCGGGATCAATAAAGTCTTATCTATCTGTACTGTACGCTTTCAACTGTATTCGTTTAATCTTCCACAAAGATAACCGCTAACCTGCTAATACAGTTTTAAAATGATGATAAACTAAGTGGTCTGCTGAATGCATTCAAAGTGCTTGGATGCACAACTCTAATGTACAAAGACATAAGGGATTAGCTAATATCAGGGGATAACAAGAGAAATTCAAGCAGCCTGTAAATCTTGTGGAGGTTTTTACTAGGTGTTGGGTATAAAACTCTCCAACAGTGGCTCTGACCGAGTAGAGGAAATAACGATTAGAGATACAGAAGCAACACAAATCAAAACGGTGAAAATACAAACTATTAAACCAACAATATGACAGCAACCCTTCCTAAGTTTTTATTTACAGGCTGTTAAATGGGAGAAAAAATAATTTAACGAGGAACGATACGGAGAAGTTGGACAATGAAGGTTTAAGACTCCATAGAAGGAAAGAAACTTTTGTGTTGCGTACTTTGCACGGTAGAGAACCGCTATGTTAAGCAATAGCGCAAAGTCTCATACTGTAAGTCCATTTCTTTCGATGGGAGTCTTAAACCTCCATCGTCCAAACTTCTCCGTATCGTTTCTGGTTAAATCCGTTATTCTTCCTCTCGCATTATACCGTCTGTAAATAAAGTTGATACATAAAGTCAGTTATAAATACCGTTAGCTTTGCCCAGTAATAAGGAACACGAAGCATTTTCGGGTCTAAACGACATTTTTTTTTAAAAAAAAAAAGAAACGAACTTCGGAGAGCGGTTTCAACGTCATCGAGTCTTATCCAAAAGCTGGCGACTAAGCCCGCCCAGGCCAACTTTTTCGTGATTTGGACCGGACATTTTTTTTGGTTTTGGTCATAATACGCATAACCAGGCGACGCTCATCGCCTTTAGGTTTCCGTTCAGCCGGCGGTGGGATGGAAGCTGGCAGAGGCGGGGAAGCCCTGTCTTTGACCTTACCTCTCTCGCACTGCGGGCCGGTGAAGCCGTACACGCAGGCGCAGCGGTTGGGGCCGATGCAGCGCCCGCCGTTCTGACAGCCGTTCTCGCAGACGGCTGCCGGGAGAGAGAGAGGGGGGGGGGGAGAGAGAGAGAGAGAGCCGCGGGGGCTCGGGGTTAGCGAGCACGTGTTCGGACCATGTGCCCACAACACAACACAACACAACACACACCTGCAGGGCAAAGAACCACCTGCAGGCCTGTAACTCTTCTGAATGCGTAATGGTGCTGTTTTTTTCTTATGTTATGCCCACCTTTCTTTTTTTTTTTTGCCCAAAATAACTTTCAATAAGTAGGGCCTCCTTCAACATGAACCAGAGACTAGCACCAGGGGGGGTAGGATCTAGTCATTCGGGCCGCACACAGATGGGACTGGAGAGTAGCCTGCTCTCACAGAACGTGGTTTTAAGTTTTGGATGTCAGGGAATGGAAAGGGTTGTTGTTGTTTTTGTGTGTGTGTGTGGAAAATACCACAAGGCTCTTAAATCTCTCGCTTTCGAGAAGATGATGTGCTGCAACCTGCGGCCAGCCCCGATGATGCCAACGGGGAAAGGGATTGCGAAAGGACTGGCTCATTTGGGGTGACAGGTGGGCGCCTGCGAGCTTGTGCTGCTGCACAGAGAGAGACTTGTGTTAGCCCCGTCCAAACCGCTATCTAGAGCTCTGAACAGGACAAGCAGAATTTGTGGAGGACGCAGGCTTGAAGAAGGGTGCGTGGCGATAAACTGGAATTTAGGGTCACTCCAACATGGCAGGCGCACAGACTGGGATAATCAATAAGATGTGATTTTAACTCCATTGATCCATCCATCCTCTAACCACTTTATCCCATTCCGGGGTTGCCGGGGAGCTGGAGCCTATCCCAGCAAGGCTGGATACACCCGGATACATCACAGGACACACACAGGCGCAAACACTCACAACAGGGAACATTTTCCCAGGAATCAGTTAACCTATGCGTGGGACCGTGGCGGGAAACCCTTGCAAACACAGGGTGAGCGTGCAAACTCCATGCAGACAGCACCCCAGGAGTTGAACCCAGGGCCCCAAGCGCTGCGAAGCAGCAGAGCTCACCGCCGTGCTGTCGTGCAGTCCAATCCTAACCCTAATGAATTGTACAACGGTGAGGAAAAACAAGAAATACTCACGCTGGCCGCAGTGAGTTCCAGTGTAGCCCTTCTGGCACAGGCAGCTGTCGTCATTGCAGCTCCCACCATTCATACACCGGACGTTGCAGGACTGCACTGCAGGGAGGACACAGACACAGGGGTCAGAGGTCGTCGGCATCACGGCGGCCCAAAGCCTCACACAGGACAGGGCAGGGGGACGAGAGGTCGGCATTTACAACAGGCCGCGCAGGGGAATCCTCTTGGATTTTCATTTCGCAATGGAGGAAACAAGCCAACAGACTTAAGGAGGAAGTAAAAGGTTAATTCCACGCTAAGAAGGAGACAGAAGAAAACACAGCATTTCGACTGGTGAGTCTTCTTCAGCTGAAGAAGGTTCAACCCAAAGAAAGGCTTCATCCAAAGAACAGCAGAACGTTGCGTTTCTACTTTCTGTTTTTGAGCACAGAATTAACCGTTCAAAGCCAGCACACACTTGCTAGCATAAGACATACAGTATATACACATTTACTTCCACAGGTTAAATACAACTTTTTTTTTAAAAAAGTATTGCACAGGGGAAAAAAATGACTGCACACCTACCATACTATGGTTTTGATATTTTACTGGGACAAGAAGTATAAGCTCATGCTCGGCGTTCAAACTGCTTGCATTCCGAAAGTTGCAGATCAAAGCGTGGAAGAAAAAAAAATTGAACTGGCGCTTCCTTAAGTCTTCAATTTGACTGTTAACAATGATTAAATTGCTAATCAGGTTGGTACTTCCTTGCTCATTCATGTCCTTCCAGCTGGCTCATAACTGTAGGGCCTGTTGGAGAACGTGGAGGTTTTGGTCAGGTGTGGTTCAAAGCAGTCAGACTCCTAAACCAAACCAGGAGCTGCACAACTTTGTCTCGAGTCAGAGCCATGCAGGAAAGCCAAAAATGCTCTGGGTGGACCAACACCCACTGGAAGAGGCCCAATTTCAATTCAGACACCAAAGGTGGTTCCGATAAAATCGGGATTGTGCTGACATGCAGGGCCAAGTTTCCTCGTCTCCATCAAGACACCGTCAGGACACTGAGTGTTCCAATTTTCAAGGACATGAAGCAAAACCGGAGACCAAAATATGATATTTTATCGGTAGAAAAGCACACATGGTGCTTTTTATTGTCTGTGCAGACTTTAATGCCGTTACCTGTGCAGACTAAGACGTGTAGTGAAACAGTGTGTTCTAGGAGACATGTAGTTTTAATCACAGTAAAACTCTTTAGTTGAAACCAGTAGCACAAAGGCCAAGAGCAAAAACATGATGCAGATGTTACAACTAGGAGTCCATAATTTAACTAAATGAAAAATGAAAAAGTGTCCAAAAAGACTGCATGTTAGCATGAGCAACAACCACGCTCTTAATGAACAACGCCACGGGACCTTTCATGACTTTGTTTTCATTCTGTCTAAATGACAGCACCTCATACAGCAGTGTCCTCAGTCATCACACGAGAGAATTAGATGGGACAAACTGTTCCAGAGGTGAAAGTGCCACTAATTTGGTCCACTGGGGGGATTTCCTAAGAGATCTCCCATCCCAGTACAGACCAGAACCCTGTCTTGCATAGCTTCTGAGAAATGACGAGATCTAGCTACAAGGTGGTGACACTATTGATGGCCAAATAGCTCGTGTAACAATGGTTAGGTCATTCTCCTCAACAAAGTCCAAATTGAGATAAAATGATAAAATCCCCAAATTAAGATGGGATATACTGGAGTTCCCCCGTGTCAGGCTGTACGTGCAACAGTAGGAAACTCAAGTGATGCCAGAAATACTGCTTTCCTTGTGTTTCTCCAGCAAATTAATTCAATTGCATCACGAGAGGGGAGGCAGCAGAACAGCTGGATTTTAAAAATGACTTCATGGTTTGAGTTTTGTCACCGTGTGTCGGTAGAGTAATGTCCAGTGTAGACATGCAGACATGATGGCATATGAGGTCATGGCACATGTACATTGTTATAATTATGACCATTAGTGAAATATGGGATTTTTATTTACACATTTGTTAAAGCCACCTGGCGAAAGCTGTCACCCCAGGGGCGTTTCTGCACACACCTGAATTGGCTCCATGCCCCTGTTGCGTCCCTAAGAAAAACAATTTGAACAGGAAAGGAGAAACTGAGATTTTTCCCGCCTCTCACAGATTTGGCGAGTCATGCAAATTGGCACAGGAAGCGACGTGTTCCAGAGCCCCCAATTCTGGGTGGAACCTGCATCACACCCATGTCCCTGGAAAATATTCACACCTTCCTTTCCTTTTTCCTCTTTAACATCAACATCTTTCCACTGTGCTCCCGCTCCGTCTCGGGGCCGGCGGTTCGCGAATTAATGCGCACTGAAGGAAAACGACAGGCCCTCTCGCTCTGGGGCTCGCCTCAGTCGACTGCAGCTCTGCTCTTCTGATGGACCACAATGAGCTTCACTGCTTAGCAGTGCCGTGAGCAAAGGCCACTCTCATGTTTCTAAATAGCAAGAATATCACGATGTCGGCTTAAAAAAACAGCTCACTCCTATTGAAGAACTGGACTTGATAGCAGCATTTATAACCGGATTTAATCCTCCTAAAGACCCAAACAGGTTTGTCTTAGTCATGAGCACAGGCAGAATGTTCGCATCAGTACAGTCTATGACTAAATCTCTGACTAAGCTGTCCCTCAGCTCTCAGTCAGGGCAAAGATCCACTGGAATGCTGTAACGTAATTTAATCACAGGCGCCCAGGATAACAAGGCCTGCAATTGGTTAAAAAAAAATTAGATTTTAAACAAACACACAACCAGGCAGGCTCCCTAGGGCCGTGGAAAGGGAATGATTTAGAACACAAGATTGCTGAAGAAGACAATGCTGCAGCCCCTGACTTCAGGCACTGGGATGAGAACGGGTTCACACCCCTCTGGCGCTGGCCGGGGCGCTGACACGGCCCTCCCATTGGCTGCGGCCGAACACGGCCCCTAGCAGGGAGAGGCAACACCGGGGTCACGTTCTCCAGCCGGGCTGTAAACAGGAAACCGTTCCATGGGGAGTCCGGGAGCTTTAGCAAGGCCTGATTCTCTTCGTCCCCGCTGGAGAGTTGGGATGCAATCGCACTGCTCACAACGGCGCAGCCCCGCGATGTTTTTTGGGGGAAGAAACCTTCTCCTTGTGATACAGTTCTGTAACACTTTTTTATGCAATGCTTTTTAGCCAGGGAGCACAAAACATGATGCTTTTTACCCAGGAAGCGGAAAACTTAAAAATCACAAAGCAAAGCCTTGGCTACAGCAGAGCTTAAAACACGAGCATGTCACCTCAGCTGGTCTCCACGTATAATTAATAATTAATAATAATTGCTTACACTTACACTTTCCTGGACACTCCACTCAAAGCACCTCACAGGTAATGGGGATTCTCCTCCACCAATGTGCAGTATCCACCTTTATATTTATAATATTTTCTACTTCATATTTAATATTATATTTCTACATCCTTTAAGCAGATGCCATTCTTTAAAACTTTGTCTGCCTGAAGGGAGCAATATAACCGCCGTTTTCAAGAGGCTACTGCCCAGAGCTCACAATAATTAAATGCAGATACAGCTTCTCCGATGCTGAGCTTCCTACGTAAGCACCTCTCATTCCAGCACGACACAGCGTCTGCAGAGCTAGCGCCCCGTTTCTCCAGCGGTGCCCAGAAACAATGCCGATGTGTTAAGGATGTTTAGGCCTCACGGGCCGCAGAGCTAGAGGAACAATGCGGTACTGTGTCTCGGATTAGCCCAAAAAGGAGTGCCCCAGGACTGACACAACTTTGTGCTCCCTTCCAGGTCCTGTTCCTCGCCAGCTGGCCCCAGCCCCACGTATTTATTGGACACACATGACTGCTGTTTGTTGACAGCTGTTTTGAAGAAACCGAAAATTAATGCGCACAGCAGCTCAGGGACAATTAAAGTTCGAAGGAGAGGAGGAGGAGGAGGGGTAGTCAGTCCACGTTCTCTGCCCTGCAAGTCTTTTATGGCTGTGCCCAGTGAACAGGAGGCACGGCGTTTGTTGTTCGGGAGCTAATTCCGGTTTCCCTTCTGGGTAATAAAAGCAGCCTCAGTCTACAGTTCCCTGCATGCACTGGACAGAACATCAGGGAACTAACTGTAGCCTGTCCTATCATTCCAATACCCAAAGAAGAGCCAGAGGAAACAATGCAGCTTAAACATTACTTAAACGCACCAAGAAACCTTGTTTTAGAAGTGCACCAGAGTCTAATTTCAGAAAGCAATGCAACCCACAGATGTTTCTTCAAAAACTGGGAATCAATCCATAGTGATGAGATCTCTTTGAGCCACAACTCCACATAGAGTCCATTGGATGTTTTGTTTATAACTGGTACATAAACGTGCCGGCAGGATGTTTATCACATTTGGGAAATGTTTACAACCAGAGCCAGTCCCTGCACTGCAAAGTCCTCGCGGCTGGTCTCAAAGATGGCAAAGGACGGACGCCCTAAAGCCGTGCGCGACGTTCTGGGAAAGAGAGCTGGTGGGACTGCTACAAGTGTTTGAAAGTTTAAAAGTGATGACTATAACAAAGAGGGAACACTGTGTCTGGAGAGTTAACCGGAGGATTAAGCTCTCCTGTCTGTCAAACACATGCACATCAACTAGTGCCTTTCAGGCAGGTTAGGAATTAGTGCTTGAAACGTCATGCAAAAACCAGCCCATGTAGAGCATTATATATAAAATGCATGTTTGGTAAAGATTTACTTTAGATTGACTTTGGTTTAAGACTTACTTTACCAAAGATGCATTTTATATATGATGCATTACAGGCGCTTGCATGGCATTATATAAAATGCATATATATATATATAAAATAGAGGAACAAGTAAAGGTTTGTTCCATGTTGAAAAGAGAAGAAAAGAAACACAACATTTTGGCTGTGGAGCCTTCTTCGGGTGTCAAGGTTTGTGTTTCTCTTTCCAGCAGGAATAAACCTTCACAGTCTACGCACGCTGACGCAGCTCCCTACTTGAACTATATATATAAAATATATATCTAAAATGCATCTTTGGTACAGTCTGTGGGCAGCTGATCGGGGATAGTCAGTTAGGCATAGCTATGTGAGGTGTTGCCTTCTGGAAAATGACTTCATAGGGTTTTCCAGCTCCCAGCCAGAAAGAGGCCCTCTTTGACAGTAGAGACCTGCATGAAGGCTGGTCTCTCTGTTCAGGGACTATGGACTACTTCCCAGCACATAAATCCTGCGCAGGGCCTCCCCCGAGTTTCATGGCAGTAAAAGACGTCCCTCTTTACACCCTAGAGGCTCAGACAACGAGAGCTGTGAATTGTATGTGTGTGTCCGCTTGTGTGTGACCAGGCAGGGCTAGGTGTGTGTCTCTGTGCAGAAAGGGAGAGGAATGCACAGAGACCCATGCTCCTACAGGCCGTTACTGCACACAGTCATACAAACAGCACACTCCCACACACACAGTACAGTAATTTACAGTACATCAGTGGCTGCATGGGAAATGAGAAAAATAACCATCTTATTAAAAAAAACATTTTTTTCTAGTGGCTACAGATATTTTTAGAAATAATCTTCTCTTTCGTCTTTCAATAATTCTAGACGATCAGTATCTGTAGATAAATTGTGGAGACTGGGACGATAAAACCTTCACACCTACCTTCACTGTAGGAGACATTGTGGCAGTATGAAGCAAGCTAGGTTGTTGAAGTCCATACCCTAGCTTCATTCAAGACACAGCTTGATCAGTTAGCTACTAATTATCTTAACTCACCCATCTGTAACCTTTCTTATGATCCTGTGTAATTCTTCCAGAAACACAAATCAGAAAAGTTCTCCAAACAGGAAAGTTGTTCAGATTCCAAGTCATGCTATCAATTGGTTTTCATCGCTCAGTTCATTTGTTTTTTCCTGGCAGGCATCGTGAAGGGGCTTCCGCAAATGACAGCGGTTTCACAGAAATGCAGCTTTTCCTGAAACCCCAGATCACACAACGGCCTGCTTCAGCACTTGCTGAGCAATGCAACGCACTGTCTTGAAAGCGGCACTGTGGGTAGCCTGCATAAAAAGCTTTTAAGACCGACGATCAGTCGTCGTTCGACACAACTCACAATGCCGATCTCAAAAATGAAAGATCAAAACATCTGGACTGCAAATGAGTGTTTGGAGATATGGGGGTCTTGGACTGTTTATGGAACAACGTTTTTCAATATGGCATGAGCCAAAACCGACAGAAATACATTTCCACGTCTCCCAGCCATGCCAGGGGCATCGTGGGACAGTGAGATCTCACCTGACGTAGCCCCACAGCCGGGGGACAGCTGTCCGTTGGAACATGTGCACATGTTGGGGCGTGAACAGAAGCCTTCCCCACAGGAATTCCTGCAGATGGCTGCACGGGACAGAGGGAGGGAGAAGGAACGTCAAGCAAGGGGGGGTCGGATGCAAAAATATAAGCAGGAAGACAACACAGTCAACAGCAGTCTTGGTGGAGGGGGCAGTTACCGGAATGACAGTATTTCAGAGCCGAGCGTGACACGGTAACACCTGCACAGTTCGGCGATCGCTCCAGGGCACGCTTTGATGCGTGAGTCACAGCGAAAAAAAGAGTTAAGAATTTTCCACATTAAACATTCCACTGCTGCTAACACTGGCTATTAATTTTGGAAATGAGTCTCTTTAACAACCGAGGCAGCGCGGAGCTTTTCAAGAAACAGAAACCGTGACATTTCCGGGGTCAAAGGTGCTTCCCATTTCGAAACCCCCCAACACATAAACTCCAGCTGGTTCTTCTAACGTTACGCGGACAAATCATTCTGCTGCACTTAGGTCATCTTTTGCTAGATCTGTTCTTTTCATCTCTCGGGGAGAAAAAAAAAAGAGACTTTCCGACTAGGAGAGAAAGAGAGCGGAGCTCCAGAACGAACCCCTCTCTCCCCTGAGGCGCGGAGATTCTGCTGAAGAAAAAGGAAAGTGGGATACTTACGGACGATGCACTGATTTCCTCCTGGGAGTGTTTTCCACCCAGGACAGCAGTAGGAATGGAAACGAGATCCACACACATTGGGCCTGTGTCAGAGAGAGAGGCCACGTGAGCTCAAAAGCTATTTCATTGTGCTGCTTTGACAAACTATGTATCTAGAACACAATGTACTGTCCTTTTACTGCACTTTTCTGCACCAATGCTATAGGCAACATATAGGACACTTCCATGAGCCACTATGTAATGAACAGGTTTTGTATTCAGAATGCTGTGCTTTAAGCAGAAAAGTGTCCCGATTTCAGACACACAGAAGGCTGTTGCTTCCCTGCACCTTACATCATTTTTTGATAGAGCTGTTTCCCATGAGCCCAGACACACTGGAGTGCCGCCTTGTTTATAGCAAACAGCCATTTTAGGATTTCTCCCAGACTGATTCCTGAAATGCTTCCCAATATTTGCCAGAGCTCTTGACCACTAGTCTAGTTTGTCTCTAAACCTTTCCTCCAATGCTTGATGCTGCAGCTTCTGATTTTGTGCAAGACAGATACTGTATGTTGAGACATGTTTGCCCTAAGTTAGGCACAACGTACAGGTGGAATTTTTCTTCTGCTCTGGAAGCAACGGCTTGAGTAGATGTTATCCTCTAGGAAGGGAGCAGATGCCTGTGTTTTCGCAGGCTGATATAACACTGTCTACAGTTTGGCCATTATGTCCATAAACAACACCTCCCATACTGCTTTTACTATTATAACACCACTACAGAGTAATGAAAGCAGCTTGTGAATGGGTATCACAAATATTTCAGCCAAAACCTTCAGTTGCTACCCTTCAAGGGATAGGTTGGGACATTTAAAAGGATGTTAAGGCAGAGGCTCCAGTCTGCTTACCACATAGCCTAAGATCCCAGAAGGGGGCATATTTATGGACATACCGGCTTAGTCTCTGCTCTGATCTTTAAAACAAATTTGGAAATATTTGGAACTCTCTGACAGTGACTCGGGAGTCCCACAGAGTCTGGGATCCTCCTCCATGCCCCCACGGTCCCAGCTCCCCGTTCCTCCTGACGGAGCGAGAGAAATTTCCGACCCCTGACACATGCAGGGGTCGTCCTATTGTGAAGATCAAAGCCCTTCCAGATCACACGCATCTCGCGGGGAACATCTTCATCTCTCCCTGGCTCTGTTTTGTCTGACATTTTCAGTAACACAGAGTCCCTTGATCGCATGTTTGGCACGTTCTCTCCCAAAGAAGCACCACTCCGTGACTGATTTTTTCTTTTAATTCCCCCCCAAATCGAAGATCTCCTTCGTAAGCCATTCTGGAATTCTTTATGCACATGGTACACGACACTATTTGTACTACCTAAGTCCAGCTTCACCTGGACTTAGGTAATTAGTCTTAAACTGTTCCTTCCCCTTTCACTGTCAGCACAGAAAACTGCATCAAGTTTATTTTTGATTACTCTGATCTTACCAAAGTGGTTGAAAATGTCATTTTCATTGTCATTGTCATTGATCAAATATGTTGACATTCTACATTTTATGACAAGCCTCTTCAGGTTAAAGCTTTAGCACCTTGGTACTGAAAACATATTTAAAATGAAGATTTCAAGACCGTGTGCTCAAGAACTATGCTATTTCTTGGGCAAGTTCTCCTTCAATGAATTTTCTCCGTGTTGTGTGCTCTTGGTATTTTAACAGATGCAACACAATATGACTAATTACAGCTGATGATAAATTACATGCCTATCTGGGAGGGGAAGAGGTCTCGTCAAAAATTCATAGTGTCACAGGATCTTATTTTTACACATTCTGTAATAAAAGTTTGTGTTTTTAGTGTCTGGAAATTGTTTCCTGTATAAAAATGTTGTAAATAATGTGGGGAGTCAACACAAATACAGTACAGTATTACAGGAACAGGGCTGTGCAGTGCATTACGTCAGCTTGTTCCATGCAAAGTACAATATGCTCCCTTTAGTACTGTACCTGTTTAACGAGAACATGTTTATAAAAATAGTACAGTATACTTTTGCCAGATCTGCCAGAAAATGTCAGACTATTGGTTGCCAAATTGCTGATCTACCATATCTCCACTGGTGAGGCCTGCCCACGCAGTTGCCTGCCAAAAGTGACTGACCCGATGGTGTTAGTCCAAACTACTAACTGAGCTATCTTGGTGAGAAGACCTGTGTCTTAAGCTATGGAAAAATGATGGGAGTTAACTTCACGTCTACATATGGGATTAATCATTCTTCAGAATTTCAGGCTAAGGAAATGTTGCTTTTATTTCAGGTGCCCTGTAGATATTGAACCCTTTCTCTCAGAATTGCTGTCCTCTTCTGGACATTCTGCTCAAGGCTAAAAATGTTACGAGTGGCTGAAGCCTATGCAGCCCAGCAAGAGCCCAGCTGCTGAAGGACTCCTTTCTTTCGATGAACTCTTCAAGGAGGAGCTGGACTTAACCACATTACCAGATGGCGGGAGGGGATGAAACAGGAAAACAGAGAGAGAGAGACGGTGAGGGGGTGGGGTGGGGAGAGGGAGTGAGGACGGTTGGAGAGAAATCAGGAGAAAGGAGGAGAAAGCAAGAGATGGGAAGCAGGGAGAGAAAGCAGACAGAAAGGGGGAGAAAGGGAAAAGAAGGTGGGCAGGAAGCGGGGACAGGAAGAGGAAGTGGATAGGAACAGGAAGTAGACAGAAAGAGTAGACAGGAAAAGTGGATAGGAAGAGTAAGTGGACAGGAAGAGGAAGTGGACAGAAAGAGTGGACAGAAAGAGGGAGTGGACAGAAAGAAGGGACAGAAAGAGGGAAGAGGGGGGAGATGAAGCCAGAAAAGGAGTAGGAAAGGGAACGACAGCCAAAACAGAGCTGCAGATGAAAAAAACAAAGGGTCACATCATGTCATCGAATGAATCGGTTGTGCTGACTTCATATACAACAGAATCATAGGCCACAGGCCTGAGATATAATTTAAAATACAGACTCAAATTTGAATTCCCTAATGCAGGTGTGTTCAGGCCTTGGCTAAAATACATTGAAAGATTTTTAGCAATGTACACACTGTTCTCAACATCTAATTGAACTCTCCTGTTTCTGTCACTCCCTGGGCTCTTGGATAAGCCCATTCAGGTGCTGGTCTCTCTCATTAACGCCAATATAAATAACAATAATAACAAATGTTCTCACATATGTGAAAACTTCTAAAACTGAGAGAGGAAAAATTGTCACTCCACCCTCTTTCTCTTGCAGTTCTGGGATATCAAACTCTTCTATTGGCTGCACACGGTGACAGAATGGTGGCACAGCGGTGAGCATGGCTGCCTTGCAGCATGGGGGCCCTGGGTTCAAATCCTGGGTGTGTGGAATTTGCATGTTCTCCTCATGTTCATGTGGGTTTCCTCTGGGAGCTCCAGTTCCATAATGCTAAGTTAACTAGCTTTTGGGAACACTGTCCCTGTTGTGTCTGTCTGCCTTGGGATGGACTGGTGTCTCATTCAGGGTTGCTTGCCAGGATAGGCCCTTGCTTCTCCAGTACTGCCTCCTCCACCCATCCAAGTGAGTACCAAGTGGATGAATAGTAGATCAGATCCTTAAACAGAAAGCATGTTGATACTGATGACTAATCAGAATAGCAGCTCTCAACTGGCAGCCCCACTGAACCTCAGCAGGGTTGAGCCTGGTCAGTACCTGCATGGGAGACCTCCTGGGAAGCTATGGTTGCTGCTGGAAGTGGTGTTAGTGGGACCAGCGGGGGGCGCCCAACCCTGCAGTCTGTGTGGGTCCTAATGCCCCGGTATAGTGGCGGGGACACTATACTGTAGTGGGCGCCATCTTTCGGATGAGACGTTAAACTGAGATCCTGACTCTCAGTGGTCATTAAAGATCCCCGGGCATTTCTCGACAAGAGTAGGGAGTTATCCCAGTGTCCGGGCCAAATTTCCCCCCTCGACCTTTACCGTGGCCTCCAAATTGTCCCCATGTATGATTGGCTTGCACCTGCCCCGTGATGGACTGGTGTACCCTGCCTTGCACTTGTTGCTTGCCAGGTAGGCTCCAGCTTCCCGCGATACCGTTTGGTACAAAGCGGTTTGGCAGCTGACATGACATGACATGAGTCACGACATGTGCTGAAGCTCCTCGGTATTCCGAGTCAGAAAAAACGTAAGGATCAAACAAACTCCGGTCTCGACAGGATGAATGCCAGAGGCTCTGGGTGGGGTCAGGCCCTGGCAGTGAGAAAACAGGTCTTTAAAGGACAAAGAAATCACCGCTGATGCAGAAAACAAAATCAGCTGGGAATTCCCCAGGCAAGCTCAGACTGCCAAGGCAATCATTACCCTACAGCCTCCACTGCTTAGGGTCAGAGGTCAACTCATTGGCAACTGACCCCTGTCGATGCCTGGATTGTTGTCTAATTCTCCACTGAGAGATCGGCTGTGCCTCATTTTGTCAAGGCTGACATTAATAGGATGTGGTGCCTTAGTCTTGAAAGAGTCTGAAAGACTTCCAGATCACGTGTGCCTGTTTTTTTTCTTTGTCACTGTTCTGCTCCAAACTCTTTACTTCTCATCACTGTTGTCTAGACAAGAGCTCCAGCATACCTCACTCTCTGGCTGCCTAATGAGCTGCTCCATAAGCTGTGCTAAATTCCTGGAGGTCAATGAGACTGCTAGAAAGTCAGTACCATTCAGATAGACACTAATACACTGTTTCCTACTTCCTACTTGTCAGGAATTTGCTTATTAAATTTCCTGCTGATTGTATTTATGGGAAATTCTCTTCATAAAGGAAGGTTCATTCTAGCCTGTTTGTAAAAGAAAAGTTCTATTAACACTGTCAGTGTTCTTGGTTTTAAAGGGTTTATTTCTCTGCTATGAAGATCATCTTTAAGCGCTTTTGATTTAATGACCAAAAAAAGAAAAATAAACTTAAACCTCAAACAAATCCTACAGATTCCTTATTCTTCCCAGTTGCAGTTTTGGGCAGGAGTTACAAAGGGTGTCATTTTATGTTCCTGAAAAATATGTCTGGGGCGGCAATCCGTTTGAGGAGGGATATCAGACAAAGCACTCTCCAGGAAATGTGGAGATCTGAAAAATTCCCGTATGGTTTCTGAAAAACTGCGCTTAGAAGCAGACACACAAAAATATGATACATCTAAAAAAAAAAGAACTGGATGTCTAACACATCAATTTTTGTTTCAGATTAACTTAAAAATTCATTAAACATAAAAACTATTTATGTACATCTATATTTATATGGTATGGATTTAGAAAGGTCAAAAGGAGTTTGTACATATGAGCCATGTGTGACATCCATTATGGCGAACCATTGGGGACCCAAAATAGCCCATCAGTTGGCTAGAAAGCAGAATTGACATGGTTTTGGAAGAAACATGAGCCGCTGAATGCAATCCTCTGTCTTGACTAACTCAGTCAGGCAAGCCACTTCCAAAACATTTCCCCTGAGCTCACAGCTGGCTCCTGATCCCACAAGCCTGGGCCTCTTTCAGATACAAAGACTCAGTCTCACTTATTATTTCAAGCGCTGTTACATCTTATAAATCATAATGGCTGGCTGGCCGCTAGGCGCGACAAATGAGGGTTTTTTTTCCCAAAATCCACCGGGTTTACAATTATCAACGGTTTTATTAATGGGATTTGTGGAGGTCCCCAGAAATGTTGCAGTTGGGTTTCTGCCACGTCTCTTCCAGTTTTGGCCTAGCTCTTGACGCCAATAAGCCAAATGCATTTGGGGCAGCCAAAAAAAGTGGTGACTCAGCAAAAGCAAGTACTGTAATGTCGGTCCATGGCTTCCTCAATGTTCCCAATTAGAGGGCTGGAACAGCAATCGAACACAGTCTAACCAGGGTTATCATGCCCTGGAAACATGACTCCAAGACTGTCAGACAAAGACAGTTACAGTTCGAACACTGTAGTGACACCGAACCTATGCCTACCCAGGAGTGCCTGTGGCAGAAAAAGATGCAGTTTACTTTTACAGATAGAGCTGACGTCAACACACAATGATCGTGACTAAAAAACAGCAAATTTACTTTAGACTGGTAAACAATTGGTTGACAACAACGGTCTTGAAAAGAACCACAGGTCAGGTTCCAGAAGCAGCGGAATTTGGCTGCACAAAGTCACTTGTTTAATGCACAAAGATTAACTGATGGAAATACTTGCGAGCCATATAATTTTGTTAATTACACTTAAACTGAAGGGAAAACTTTGTCTACATTGTAACCCCGCCTTGGACCAGGCTAAACAATAGCAATATTTATCTGAGGAAGCACAGTTCCTAAACACATGCAAGACAGTTTCATATCCTAATGTAAACCGGTCCTATGTGACTGGACTCTAGACGTCTTTGACCACATTTTCCATTTTAATTCCTGCAGCTGAAATGTGGGGTTGTCACACCAGGAACCCTAGGATAGGTTATCCTGAATCAATCCCAGAAATCTGAATATCACACCCATGACAGACAGCAGAGGACCAAAGAAAAGCCAAACGTCCTTTTGATGTGTTTGAACAGGTGAGACAAAATTGAGCTTCGCTGTTACTTAATAGATATCCTACCACAACTGCATCACTCCACAGAGAGATCTATGTGAAGCTCTATGTGATCCAAATGACAAGCCACCCCACAGAACGACAGTGGATTGTCTGAGATTACATTAAACAACCTAATATTTGTTCAAAAAACACATTTGATTTACAAAGATCACAAGCCTTTCTTCCTGTCCTAGAAGCAGACATTTTGTTTCTTCGAAAGCACGCAGATGAAGGGCTTTCTTTGTGTGGCAGCTCTGCGCCAGCCGTATCTCTCCAGCACTTTATCGCCTTTCGAACTGGAAACAAACGTCCCCTGTTGGCCTTAGACTGATCAGACTACATCATTTCCTGAGACGTGTGCGAGGAGGGAGACATATGCTGGAATACGTGGGGCCTGATTGGAATAATTGACTCTGAAGAAAACCTGGAGTTAAAGTCACTCCGCCTGCGGAACAAAACATCCCTTGTTTTCTTTTTTGGGGGAAAATTAAAGAAAATGACTGCTGGCGACCTCCCCCCCCAAACAGAGCTCACTCCCCGTCTCGGTCCCTGGAGGATGTGTGTGTGTGTGTGTGTATGTCGGGGGTGAAGAGAGAAGGGGGGGCACTTGTGGTTTCTCTGCTATGATTGATCTGCACTCAACCCCCCCCACCACCACCACCCAGAAATAAAGAATTAAGCCCCCCCCCCATGTTACCTCAGCCTCTAACCATTGCAGCATGACATCACTCATTTCAGCACCGCGCAGGCCCTCCAGAGTAACACTCTCCAGGTGATTCAAACAGCAGGACTGGCTGCTCAGGACATAGGAGAGGGGGGACAGGCAGGAGAAGGAAGGCTACACCAGTTTGCTCTAAACCCATTCTTACAACAGTGCAGGATACAAACTCTTACCTAAACTCCTTCCACCACAATTCCATCTCGGATTAAACCTCTTTAAAGCCCCGTCCCTCATTATACTTCATCCCATGCTCTATGCGCGGTGAGGAATCTCTCTTAGCTGTGGGACTGGTGGCCTGACTGACGCGGGCTCAGTGTACGGGGCCTTGGGTCTTGTATTGGAAACAGAAAGCCCCGTGTCCCTGTCAGCTGCTGCGGCTGGCACGCTGGCAGGAACAATGGTGCAAGTGGCTGGCTGGAAGGGCAGAACGTCCTTCGCTTCACCAAAGGTTCTGGGAGTCCTTCCAAGCCATCACACAAACGTGAGCCCGAAGGGCTGCACTTTGGCAGACAGTGCGAACGTTCGATTCGAAACGGAAGAGCACAGGCAAAGAGCCGGGCTGTGATCCAAGAAGGTGGAAAAGAGTCCAGCAACAATAGATCCCTATCACAGATGCCGTGACCGATCAACGGACAGACTCCAAGCAGGCACTAACATAACGCAGACACCGACAAGGCGGCCTCAGTCAGACCCTAGCTCACAGCAGCCTGTCCCTGGACCTTCCAGGCTTGGCTTACATCACCGGCTGAAACATACTGAGGTCATATCTCAGAGCAGCCGTGAACAAATAAGCACATTCCTTTGGTCACTTCTAACATGGTGGAGCCCAATTCTGGCCCTCGAGAGCTGCTGCCCAGGAGGCTTTATAGGTCTGTCTAAATCTCCAGCTTCCCAAGAACATGGCTTCAGCTTGTGCCATTAAGCAAATAAGGAGATCAATTAGGTAAGAGCTCCAGGACTGGAACTGTGCTCCTCTGCTCTCAACATTCAAAGCTATCAACTATAGAAACACCAATGTGCCAACCGCCTGGGATATCTGCAGCAGTTGTGCGTGTGAATCCAATATTGTTACCATATCCCACGAACTCACATTCTGGTTAGTCTTCTGCTAGTGCTTGTGTAAAAAATGTAAGTGGCCCTTATGAGTACCAAGTGAAAGACTGGGAGCCGCAGATCGTTTTGAAACCCTTGCTCAATGGAGAATGGCTACTCGCTTACAAATTTGAAACATTTTATTTCAGTCCGATTTTACTCGCATTGTCGCAGCCACATCAACACTCCCATCATGCCACACGGGCACAGGGCTTTGCAGCAAACACCCAAGTTTCCCGGCTGAATTCCACCCCCATCTGAACGTCTCTACGAAGTTCAGGAAACCGTTTCCAATCGGGCAGCTTACCCTCTCAGGGACTCCTGGCCCCTTCTTCGTACCCTCAGGGACTCCCTCTCGTCCACCCGCCCCGTGAAGCGACTGGCCTGCAGGTTCCCGTCCAGCTGGCCATGCGCTGCTTGGAGTGCCGCCCAACAGACGGCGGCCCATCCCAGCACCAGCTTCCCCAGCTGCAAAGCCGCCATTGGCTTCCTACTGTGTGCTCTCTCTCCAGGTGCCCTCACGCCAATCTGCGCTCCTCCACCTGCTGCTCCCCCGGCAACACGCTGCGGTTAACGATGGTTCCCGTCCCGGTACACTCCAGCTTGAGGGGCTAGAGAGAAAACCAAAGACAAGAGATGACTGGAAGCAAGGGATGTTTCCGTCAGATGGAGGAGGCAAAACTCCTGCGATGGGCCTCACAGCGTAAAGTGAGACAGCTATGGGGAAATCGCTCCTCCGGGACTCTCTCAAGTCTGCAGGTAAGGGGCTGGCCAATTGAAGTAGGAGGTTTCAAGCTCTTCCGGGGTTTGTGGATTGGCTGTTCAGAGACAAGCCTGATCAAGGTTTGAGGAGACTCAGATCAATGAGACTGATGCCCGTCAGTCGCTCTGGAGATGTTAGAGCTGAAAAGTATAACAGTATAATCGTGTAAAATAAGAGCGAGTCTTACTCCTCCAGCTCCTGGCAGTGAGAGGCTGGTATTTTGGCCCTGGTTTGGCTATCTAGAACCAGGAGGAGAGCCGGCGACAGTGCCCTTTCATTACACGTTACAGACCCAGACAGCCGACATTCCTGCACGGAGGTACAACTGGCTTCAGGTTAGAAATTTCGGAGCAGAGTTCGAATTGGACAGGGGGCTTGAGAAGGTCAGCGTGTTCATCTGCTGGGTGACAGTGAGCATCAGGTTTTCCACGGCCTCTGTACAAACAGCAAAGCCAATCCCCTTCAGCAGGGTTGTGCTGTGCTGCAGCCCAAAACTGAGCCCTGCCGAAGCGCTCTTTCTGTGTGAGAGGAGCCGGGTGGAAAGGATTGCGCCCGTTTTATTTACATTCATATTTTCTTTAGTCTGCATTCCTGTTCACTGAGTTTATCACTTCCTTTCAGACACCGTGGAGGAAAGGCGGCTTCTGCGCTGTTTAGCACCGTGAGGTTGTTTGAGACTAAGTGCAACTAAATACTATTGTTTACCGAAGTTTAATAACTTTACAACTGTCACAGCCTGGGTTTCCAAAGCAATAAGGCAATAACAGTCAGGAGTAAACCGTTCGCTTAGAGTTACCCCCTTCTTTGATATATATGATTTATTACCTTGAAAAACGCGCAGTTCGGACGGACTGGCGTGTGTTTTTGGTGCTCCTCAGAACAAAGCATTAGGATTCTGCACCGACAGACCGTCGATTTACAACCCTGATACATTTTGGGTTCAACACTAGGGGACACAGAGACGAAGGAATATTTGGGAACGATTTCAGAGGCTGAGAGACTGTTGGCTGTCGGGAAGGATCCACCCAGCTGTTTGACAGAATTTCAGATGAAAGACTCCGTTTCATTAATGTATGTCCAAACTTCCCTTACCACCCCAAGCTACGCACTATTGTCAGTAAATTCTGGATATGTATTGTATTGGAATCTTTTCACTACTCTGGAATGGAAACCATCAATGTACTCATTTATTTGAATTATTTTACGCTCCTACCTTATTTAACAGGACGATCAACCAACTGCAAAAGCGCACATCACGCAGTTGTGCTTTGGTCTGAAGTTTTTACAACTGTCTGGCATGGCCCCTGCGCGATCTTACAGTGCATGAAGTTTTGGTTGGAGCGGTGTAGCTTTCGGAAGTGCGATTTCTTCAAGACGTCGGCAATTAGATTTAACGCCTTTTTAACGAATTGACGCATCGCTACTGACCTGAACTATTTCTGCACATAGAGTGACCACTGTAACATACGGTCCAGCCACTGGGTAACGCTCTAAATTGTTCTCAAATCGCATTAAATGAATTCAGCTCAAACGCAGAGGTCTTCATTCGCGAGTGAAGCCTTTATTTGACAGCTGGCTGGAGCGGAGAGCATAGATTCGGGTTTCTGAGCCCCTGCACTGGGGGCGGACCGAGCTAACAAAGGACGGGCGGAGAGTCCACAGACTCGACCTCCGCTGGGCGCAGGTACGTCACTGAAGCACACGCACAGGGCTCTCGCCGCATTCAATCCTGGCCGCCCGCTTTCAAGGTGTCATTTTCAAACCGGTTCAGGTTCAGATTGACTGCCCAATTATTTTTTTTATTTTTTTGGGAAACCAGCACCACTGACCGTAGAAAAAGTTAGGAAACCGCACTAAAAACGTTCATATACTCTAGGTGGAAATAAAAAACCCGCGACGGTTATCACCATTGAAGAGTTTTCATCACAGGGTAACTTTGAGAAACTGCATTGTATTCTGTCGTGTCCGTCAGACAGGAAACCGTGGAAAAGATTCCAGGTTCTTTTTAAAGATACAAGGTTTAATATAGATTCCGGGCATTGCAAGAGATAAGCTCCCACAAGCGCTGGCTGATTTATAATAAACTCGGATAAACTTTAACTCAATGTTAAGGAATTTATAATAGAACTAGTGTGAATCGTGAGAAGTAAGTGGTGGCTATGATTTAATTAGCTTGAAACCGAAAGCATAGGTTAAAAAATAGGATCATCTTAACAGATGTATGCCGTTTTCGATGAGTGGATCGTGAAAAAATAGAAGTTCTTGCAAAAATAATCTGCTGATTAAGCAATATCTATAGCTAACCGTAGCACCACGAAGGAGACACATTCATTACTAGGAATTTTAGCCACTTAAGATATATTTTCCATAGACTTTTCCAAATAAGTTCCAAAAACATTTAACTGTTGCATATCTTGCACAAGAATGCTTGTGTTGAGCACACGCTAAACTAGGTTAAAAGAGGAAAATAGTTAAAGTTTAAAGAATTTGCATAAAAGAGCACGATACCTTGCAATTGTCGGAGTGTCCGGAGTATATGAGTCTCTTTTTGTAATGGGGAATGGGCTTCAGAGAGGAGAATTAAACCATCCCAGCGTGAGGAAAAAAGGCAACATTTTACCCATATTGGGAGAAGGGAGGTCCCTTTTCTGCGCACGAGAGAAAGGGGGGAGGTGGGGGGGGGGTTCGCTAACGGTCTTCAGGACAAACCCACCGCATTCCTCAAGTCTCCCTCTCTCGCAGGCACACTCGCCAAATTTCTTTAATTCCGAAGGGGGATGGGGTTAACGCGGGCCGAGCTGGTCCGCCACGCCACGCCACGCAGAACTGTTCAAGAGTTCGTTTTCGCTCGAGACACCGTCGGCAGGAGTGACCCCAGATATTGCGGGGGTCGCGGCTGACATCTCAAGACCGCGACGCGTCCATCTCGCCGTTCACATCCTCGCCTGCAGACCCGATCCAGCGGGGCTGGTTAGAGGAAAAGACATATGTTGAGGCCAAGATAATTCTCGGCACAGCTATTTTGTTGGTTTCCTCATCAGTATTCTTTTCATGAATAAGTCTACAGATTGTAAAAATGGGACACGTGGAGACTTAACTCATACACAATTATTAAAACCTTAAAATTATATATTTTCAATTGAGCGAATTTAGGTGTACAAACTGTGGAGGAATTATGCGTAGTTCACATAACTATTATCGGTGGTTAAATTTAACATTTTTAAACTGCTGCAGTGTTGGGCAGCATGATCACGCAGTGGTTGGCATTACTGCCTCACAGCTCTGGGGCCCTGGGGTCAATTCCAGACCTGGGGTGCTGTCTGTGTGGAGTCTGCATGTTCACCCTGTGTTCACATGGGTTTCCTCCCACAATCCAAAGACATGCTGGTGGGTTAATTGGTCTCTGGGAAAACTGGCCCTGGTGTGAGTGTGTGCGATGGACTGGTGTCCTGTCCAGGGTGTACCCCTCTGTGCACCCATTGCTTGCTGGGATAGACTCTGCCTACCCTGTGACCCTGTACTGGTTAGAAAATGAGTGGACGGAGCTGCTGTGGTGTTGTGGGAAGATTATTGTAAAAGCAGAGCTGGTTACATCTGGATAAGTGACCAGGGGGCAGAAGAGGGGGTTTCTGGGGCAGATGCTAGCTGGGGCTGGGTTACCACCAATTTGGTGGTAAAACTTCTGTAGCCAAGATGACTAAACAAAGCAACGCATGCTTTCTTAATGCGTTCTTAAGCCCGTCTTAGGCTTTTACAGAGCTTCTGGGCTGTCTGAAAGGATCTGCAGGACAGCTGTAATGCATTCCCACCAGAAGCTATTTCAGAAGCCCGAGCTTGTTGCTCTCGCTAGGTTGAATGCAAGGTATTCTAGGCTATGGCTGCTTTGCAAAAACAGAGTCCTATAGGTAGGTCGCCGCGAACCACTCTTCAGCACACCTAGGAACGAGACGTCCAATCAAGAGTGCAAACGAGCAGAACGGCCTCATTAGGGTTCAGGTGGGAGGAAAGAGGGGCGCGGCTTCACTCCCTGAGAGACGGGAGCCCTTGTGGACACCGCCAGATCACATGGGCTGGCGGTCTTGGGGAACAGAAGAGGTCGTGGGGATGGCCTGACCTTTAAGAAAACCCATATCGCCCGTTCCCCGTCACGAAACGAGGAAGAAGTGTTTTTTTACAGGAGGTTTGGAGTAAGAGACTATTCAGTTACTGCAGCAACCTCTTCAGACATTTTCTTCTTTTTACAATTATTGCACTTCTGTGGGGCTGTAAATGTGTTTCAAAGCCTTTCCCCCTGTTGCACTGAGGAATGCTAGGGCATAATTAGACAGTTTGATTGTGTATGTTTAAGTCTGTCCACCCAACTAGAATGCCTTCTACCAGGGGGAAGAGCTGAAACCTCTCAAACCGAATTCCTGCTGGAGGCCAGCTGGCTCCCCAGCCCTTCACTGATTTTTTTTTCTTTGCATGTAAAACCTCATTTTTAAGGCATCTGAACGAAAAGTAGGCAGGCAGGGCACACTATTTTTAGTTTCCTTCAACATTTTCCTTCTCTGTCCGTCAAGAATGACTCCATTCCCCCGAGGTCCAGAGTCTCTGCTGCTGCAGCAGGAGCTGGGGAAGTCAGACCAGAGTCTGTTACACGTCTGCAGTTGGCATCTTCCATCGTCCAGCCGCAGTGGGCGATGTTCACGATGAGGACGCCCCTGCAATTGTCTTTGCTCGTCCTAAACAAAAGCAGATTCTGCACCCAAAGAACCAGATACAGACCCAGGCTGTGCTGTTAACATGCTGTTCTATTCTGCTGGGACAAGAGTGAGAGAGAGAGAGAGAGTGGTCTGAACCCCACCACCACAGCCACCTCTCCTCCCTCTTTCTCCGTTGCTCTGCACTGGGCAAAACATGCCTGTGGGGGGTTATTAAGGGCAAAGCAACAATTGAATTTTAGTTCCCATGAACACTTTGGGGAATTTCTCTATCCCAGGCTCATCTCGTAATGTTCCTGTACCTGGTCATTACACACTACACGATAATCCCTAGATGCTTTTCTGATTATTCACTTATATCGTAGAGGCTAGCCTTGCACAGTGGCTCTATTCATCTCAAGATACACTGTAAAATATCAAACAGTACTTAAATGAAGTGCATGGGGTACCCAGCTTTTAGTACTGTGATTTCAAAATTTCAGAGCAGTATATACAGTACCTATCAAGAAATGTATATGACAAGCACAAAGGATATCCACAGTCATGCTAATTAACTCAATATAGACTCTTAACATCTACCAGGGGGCTGTTAACATGTTGGTGGGTGTTAATACCGCCGATAAAAACAGCAACAATTTCCTCGCTCGCATTCCCCAAAGTAAACGTTTTAACATGTGTACAACGCAAAGAGTACAGAACAATGAATTCAGGCACTGCCTAGCTTTAAAGCTGGGGTCCTTCCCAGCATTTATTGTGTATGAGGAATGACATTCATACAGAAACCAGATGAATACACAGTTGGTTTCCATATGTACTGATCAATCCGCCCCACCCCCTTGGTCTTACCGGTGTTCCAATACAATTTCCTTGAGCAGAATGCAATGAGAGCTGTGTTTTGAGTCCCTCTTTTTTTTGTGGGGGGAGGAACGGCTCGGATTCTTGATCCCCAGCCCAGTTCATTTCCAGTTCTGATTAAACGGGGCACCGCAGCTGAAAAACAAGCGAATAAAAAAAATATTTTCTAGGAAGCCGTGAGCAACAGAAGTGTCTCATTGTGGTTAGTGCAATGACAGATAATCCTCCAAAAAAGGCTATACAAAGCCACCCCCTTCAAACAGGGCAGCCTTTGGCGTGCCTATTAACAGGAGAAATCCCAATATCAAGCAGGGGCTGAAGCAATCAGCACCTTCTGAAGTAATGCATGAAATGACTTTTCTCAAATCTGCAAACTTTGGGGTGTTTACTGCTCTGTTTTGAAACAGGCAGGCTCCTAAAAGGACTGTAGGCCAAGATGCAGCACCAAACATTTGTGTCATTCCTATAAATCCGGCCTATTCCCTGGTTTCACACAACCCACTAACCTCAAAGCGAGGGACGGTACCTAAACTATTTTCCTGTTCAACAGAGACCAAAATGTTTAGATGTCTGGAGTGGACAGGTCCATTTTGTAAAAAGCAGAGCTGGGGGGGGCTGTTAGTAAATGTCTTTATCCACTCAGTGTAGACTAACCGGCACAACCATCTACAGTACCTTATTAATGTTTCAGAGACGTACAGTGAGAGAGAGAGAGTAAAAAAACAAAATGGACATCTGCAACAAATCACCACTCCAGACCCTGGAAATAGAGTAGTCCGTTTTCTCATGAAGGGTCTGTGCAGGCCAGTGTCAGCTTGCCTTAGATGGGCACTAAGGACTGAAGGATGTGAAAGGTCGTGCTTTCACCCTTCAGCTCCCTCTCGCTGTCGGCCAGAAGGGTCAAAACAGGAGTGGGTCTGCTGGACACGTTAGGGAAGGCAAAAGCCCAACTCTGCAAGCCACAAACTGCACCATTAACAGTTGTCTCTCTTGATTTAGAAAAAAATGTTCTACATAATAATTTTGAAGGAATGAAGGACTTGGTAATTATTCCATAACAAGCCCCTCCTCTGGGTTTGAGCACAGGCTGCTGATTAGCCCTACAGCACACGATGGTGTGGACACAAACAATGCGAAAGTCATCACCCCAGCCCCTGGTATTCAGCCTAGAGGCCTTAACCTCAACCCCCACTATTTACTCCCAAGGAATGAGGAGCATTAAAAATCGGAAGGTTTAGACATATTAAGAGAGGGACACAGCCAGATGCAGTCTGTTTACTGACCTCCTCGAGCTTTCGTGTCTGCGTGTGGTTGGAGGTCACAGGAGGGCCGGGCCGGAACAATCCAAGAGCCGACCCGACCTGGGAGAACCAGGGGAGGGAGTCGTGGAGTGGGGGCGGAGGGAGGACGGAGGCGCTGTCAGTGGGCAATAACCATAACGTCCACGGCAGCCGTTCTGTCTGCCAGCCCAGCAAGACCGACTGTCCGAAGGCAAGGGCTGGGAGACTTGCCGACTTCCTCCAAGGGCACGGCTTCTTGGTGTCAAAGGAGGAGGACCCTGCTCAAGACACTGGATTTTCAGGAGTACAGTATAGTATAGTACAGGTCTGCGAGTCTGAGAAACTGGACAGGATGAACCTACAGTAGAGCCACGAGTGTCAGTCCTGCTGGTTTTGCATATAAGCAGAGAGCTACAGTATGTACTGTATGTTCTTTCCACTCTTGGCTATAGGAGATCCTAATTGGACTAATTTGTGGCTTCATTGCAAAAAGCTACTGTTTTTCAGGCTTCTACTCTTTTTATAACTCCCTATAAAACCTGTCGGACATGGGAGTGAAATCATCAACAGCTCCAGATTGAAAAAAAAAAAGAAAGGTGTTTGTCCCCCATCAAAAATAAACGGATTCAGTTACGTAACCGAAACTACAGCTGCGATGAGGATTGCAAGGTCTGGAGGATGGCGAGGACTGGAGTGGGCTGTCTTACAGATCACAGAGGGACTCTGGTGCGCTGGTGAGGAGCCTAAGGAACGGGAACAGGAACAGCGAGAGGGCCA